TCTCAGTAGTTACGTTTTGAATTTCGTATTACGTACATTTTCCCACATGTTCCTATTCCTAAAACTTTTTTATAAATTTTTTGAATAACTCTGAGAAAAAGATACAATGGCGAGAAATTTCAAAACCACAACGAACGAAAAATCCTACGCTAAAGGATACTAGACGATGGAGATCACAACGTGATCCCACGCTATCGCTCTTCGAGGCTCAATGCCACGACCCTAACACTGCGGAGCGCGACCACAGCCATGAAAGCAGCGGCAGCTGCCACTGTAGTGGCCCATGATGCGGCTCTGGTGACCACCAGGACTGCCAAGTCCTTAAAAACGTCATCCATGATGTGGCAACGCTATTTCCTGAACCATTTTTTCCACGCTGGAGCTGAGAGTGTGAGATCATGCCGGGCTGTTGGAAAGCTGATCCAGCCATTCAATCGTTTCTATCAAAGGGTGGAACGCTCAGTGAGCTCCTTGAGCTTTTTGTCAACTCCACTTTCCCTCACATTATATCTCTTAATAGGACGGTGGTTTATTGGGAAGACATTTTGCTACATGATAATGTCAAGGTGCAAGCACTCTGGATACCGCGTTATTGTGTCATCCTCGGAGTTCTATTACTTGGATTGTGATCATTGTGACTTTCTGGGGAACAACAACCTATAGGATCAACAAACACGGTTAACACATTTGGAGAAAGTGGTCTTATTAATATGTGACTCTATTTTTTAAGGGAATGAACATAAAGTGCGTCATCCGAAACCGCACTTCCTATATAACAACCACTTGTTACTTTTACTGTTTGTCACAAGCATTGGTGTCTTTGTACATGTCCTTGAAATACGGTTAAATATTCAAAGCCTGAGAAGAGAACTATTAGTGTTGAGAATTATTGATTTAAATTACAAGATTTTAAACCAATAAATATCTGCTGCCGCCACATTAGCAATGATCACTACCGCCAAACTCCCAACACCATCGCTATCATCGCCCCGACGGACAATCCACTACCATTACATTCCCACCCCCTGTACAATCATCCATGTCATCCTAAGGTTTTTATTTTGAAGACATGTGAGGACTAAATACATATTAGTCACAAAATTATATTAGATTAAATTCAAAGGCTTAAAATATTTGACAACTTAATAAAGTAAAACCAACTAAAATCCATGAGCCAATAAAAACCTCATTTTCTTGTTTTGCTTTATTAAATTGTCAAACATTGTAAGCCTTTGGATTTAATCTAATATAATCCATGAGCCAATAAAAACCTCATTTTCTTGTTTTGCTTTATTAAATTGTCAAACATTGTAAGCCTTTGGATTTAATCTAATATAGTCTTATGGTTAATATGCATTTGGTTCTCACATATTCTCAAAATAAGGATGGAGAGCAGAACTATTATAAAAATCTAGCACTTTTGAGTTAGATTCCTATAACACAACAGCTACAAAGAACGTGTGTTTTTATTGGGGGTGAGTTCTATCTACTAATTGTGGGACTCATCTAATTTACACACTCTTACTGGTTATTCTCTTCTCCCCCCCCCCCTTCAAAAAGTGGGTTTGTCTTTCTCTTTCTATAAAAAAATAATATAAGATGTTGATGTGGTTTAACCGTGACCATTTAAATAAGAGGAGAGAGAAAGGAAGGGAAAAAAAAAGGGAGAGGATCCTACTCCTTATTGTATAGAACTCAAGAGCTTAGCTTATGATGAATTCGGAATCAAACTCAATTTTTCACCTCACTATGAATGTCTTATTGCATGAAATTTTTAACATCATGTCCATTTAAGTCATTATAAACATCCATTGAAGTCTTACATCAAAATTTATCAAACAGTGTGACACGATTTTATTTAGTCTCAACACCACTAAAAATACAATTTACCGAACACTTCTGTTTTACTTATTATTCTAAAATCACAGTATAACCCATTGCTACAAAAATGGCTAAAAAAACACCAAATTCGCCTGAAGACATATATATATATAAGATAAATTCATGGTATATAACCGTTGAATTAAACGTTCAGAGTTTCGAGAGTTCGATCAGCTAAAACTCCTCTTTTTTATAGAACCATATTCCTCCATTTTCTTCACTCCAAATGAGTGTCTTAGTAGTCTTGGATTTGTCTAATTTTTTGCAAGGATGATGCAAGAATGATGTTCTAAAAGATAAAAGGTTTGAGTTGTTAAAATTACATTATGTAGTGGGCCCCACAAAACGTGTATAAAAATTGTGTAAAAGAAGTGGTGTCACGGATTTGCTCCCATAAGTTATTTATTTGTAGTTAAGAAAATGGACGAATATAGTTCTACGAAATAACTCTAAATCCTTAATCCAACGGTCATATGATTTAAGATTTAGATGATTTTTTGTAGACATGATCTTTGAGAAATACTTAAGAGATAGATCATTGAAATACATTAAAAAGTTGGCCCTACAAAAACATGTGACAAAACTTGTGTAAAAAAAATTGGTGTTACAGATCCCCACAAAAAAGAGATAAAGACTATGTAGGGCCCTCGACATTGAATTTCAACTATCTGAACTGTGTATTTTTTTATGTGCAACATATCATCCTTGAAAGGAAACATTCACTCCACTACCACTTAGTACTATGGTCTAGTCGTATTCCTCTTAATTTAAGTGCAGACTCTTAGGTTTGAATTTCGAGAATGGTGAGTCTGCAACCAATTTATTCTCCCACCATCTCGATATAAATATATCATTATATAAATAAAAACATTTACCCCGTTGAAAAGATTGAGATATGGCGTTGTGATCGAAGAAATTGATCAACACAATATTATAAGAACGAAGATATTGTAGCAATGATCATTCAACAAAAAATTTGTGACCAATGGTTCCTTAACTTATCAAAACGTGCAGTTATGGTCTTTTTCGTTAACTTCGTTAGAACTTCAATCAAAATGAGCCACATGTCATGCATATGAGACTAAATCAAGATGCAAATATGGAAAACAAAATGAGAAAAATTGTAACAATGGTCCTTCAATTTTAATACAATTAGAGAAATAGTTGCCCAAGTTTAATCCAATTGGAGAAATGGTCTCTTAACTTTAACTCAATTATTGCAATAGTCATTCCAACGTGACTCATTTTGACAGAGTTGAATAAAAGGATCATAGTTGCACGATTGGATGAGTTAAAGGATCAATGATTATAGATTTTTAGTTGAGTGACCATCGCTCTGATTGAGTTAAAATTGAAAGACCATTGCTACAATTTTCTTTATAACAAATATTGAAATGGCTTTTTAGCCAAAATGGTCTCTGAGATTTGCATAACTCCTCATTTTGGTCATTAGGATTTGAAATCGGTAGAATTGATTCCTAAATTTATCAACCATCAATCATTTTGATCATTCTCTAAAATATCTCTATTGAATAAGGATAAAATGACAAAAATACCCTCAAATTTTGTCAAATCATTTGTCCTATTGTTTATTAAATTGATGGTATTTTTTGTCATTTTGAATCTTACTTAACATAATTTTTCACCAAATGACCAAAATGATTAATGGTGGACAATCTCAGAATCACTTCTATTGATTTCAAATCTCAATGATCAAAATGAGAAGTTATGCAAATTTCAGAGACCATTTTGGTTCAAAAAAATCTTACTGAAATTTATGAATCAAATAGGTAATTTGGATTTGACAATCCCGTTCACCTGGAACGCAAAGTCCAGGGAAATCTTGGTCAACAGCCTTGGATAAAAATCCAAGGGTGGAGAAATAAAAGCGTTTTTGTTTTAATATTTTTTTTACTTAAAACAGTTATACTCTCTTTCCGAACTCTCTTTCCTCAACGCATCTCTCTCCACGTCTGTCTCTCAATGCCATCGATAGATTCGAGCTGTTGATGACCATTGCCGCCACATTCAACAAGCTCCGTTGTTAACATAGCTAGATTTGGATAGCAGTAAATAAAGAAATCTTGGATACGACGTTCGTCTTCTCCGTCAATCACCATCGCTTGTCGGTCTCCTTCATTCGTCATTCTTCGTTGGTTGTCGTTCATCGATTTTCGACAGGGCAAAGGTGTGAGGAAAGAGAGAAAAAATGAAGGTAATATTGAATGGCTTATTTTTCTGCAGCGTTGGATTAGATTCAACGATGGTTGACCAAGCTTTTCCCGATAGTTTGATGTAGTAGTAGCAGGGAAAGGATCCTCAGCGGATCATTGTTGTAGGAATTTCGTAATCGTGATTGTTCATTGTACAATCAGTTTTTGTTAAGCACTATTTATTTTTAATTTTTAATTTTGAAATGATTTTTAATCCCATGATATACGATAAACGGTCATAATCACAAGATCCCTATGATTCATAGGAAAATGAACCAACTATAATCATTTTCCGTAGTAGCAGTAGAGTCACATGTCAAAAGTTGAATAAAAAAAAAGTAAATAGAAAAAGGTAAGTGGGAAATGTAGGTAGCATTTCTCTTATCATAAATAAAAAAGTAAAGTGTAGTAATAATCTCTCAACTATAATTAAATTAGAGCAATAGTCTCTCAACTAAAAATTCATTATCATTGGTTCCTCAACTCATCAAAATGTGTAGTTATGGTCCTTTTTGTCAACTTCGTTAGCATTTTGTCAAAATAAATTATGTTAAAAGAGCCATTGCTACAATTAGAGTCTCTCAACTCATCAAAACATGTAGTTATGATCTTTTTTGTCAACTTCGTCAGAATTTTGTCAAAATGAGTTATGTTAAAAAAATCATTTCTACAATTGAGTTAAAATTAAGAGACCATTGCTCCACTTAAGTTAAAATTGACAAACCATTTCTCTAGTTGAGTTAAAGTTGAGGGACCAATGACAATGAATTTTTAGTTAAGAGATCATAACTGCAAGTTTTGATGAGTCAAGAGACTAATAGTAATGGATTTTTAGTTGAGGGATCATTGCTCCAATTGAGTTAAAGTTAATAAATCATTGCCATAATTTACTCTAAATAAAAAGGCTAGCTAAAAACTTTGGGATTGATAATAATTTAAAGTCATAAGAATCATAATTTTTTTTCTTCGCAAATGTCCAATTCACCCCAACTCCAGGAATAAAGCACGCAATCCAAATGCCAACCAAAAGTGCTCGGATACAACCACGACAGCCCAAAATCACCCACAATGTACAACGTTGTCGAACACCCATATTCATTTCATACCCAGTAAATAGTCATCATAGGAGTTGCCAGTCATCTTCTTGTGCACTTCCATCTGCATCGCTCATGGGCAGAACAGAAAATGAATCATCGTTTTCTACTGCACCATCACCCAACGCATCACTGTGGTTAACCGGCCTGGGAAAACTATGTGTCTGAGTCACAGTAAACAGTGGAGCACCATTTGATTCATCTGCCAGCTTGGAGGCTCGAAAACAAAAATCATTAAGATCATCTGCCAGCCATGAAACAATACTAAGTACATCAACTTAACTAAAAGTACATAAACCAACGTTTGCAAAAATACGAATTCAGCAGAGTGACCAGCAAACCTCTGTCACGACAATAAAATCCAATCGCCAAGGATGGATCAATCAATTCAAGGGGAATGTGCCGTATAACACTGCAAATTACCAGTAGTTAGTATTAAACACCCAATTCAATGAAGACAGGTAGTCTTAAAGAATCTTACTTGCAGTGGTAGGATAAAGTATCAGCCTCCAAATCATCCCTTCTGATATTGATTACCTGGCACAACCAACGACAAAAAACCAGTCTGCCATGAACAATAGGACAGCTAATGTAATAATTCAAAACATTATCACAAGTATCCAACCTAAATAAGAACAAATAAAAACCCCTGTAACAAGAACATTCCAATGTAATTAATAATTATCACTCCATATGCTTCATGTGGTACCATATACCACAGCCAGTCCAAATCCCAGATAAATGTGGGGCCAACATGTGTTAGATGAAGTCATTGCAGATAGTAGTGAGCGAGAAAAGTGGGGGAACTTGAAACTGTTAAGTACATTTTACCTATTATATTTCCATCACTTTACAGTCTATTATTCAACTCATTTAATGTCAAAAGGGTAAATTTGAAATTTCATACACTGGATTATAGACGAACTGGATCTACGAGATGAGTGGAACATTTCCTACTAGTGATGCGCTGCATCACATCCAAGTGTAGTGAAAAAGAGGGAGTGGTTGTCTAAGGTGTTCCCGGAAACACCACAGTGGCACCAATTGTGTTGTGTAGACATAGAATTTAACAGACATCTTGCAGGTAAAGAGACTAGTCCAGGAAAGTAGAATATTTTTGAAGACCTGGAATACAGGAACTTTCACGGGTAAAAAGAGAATTCTAGATAGGCATGGTGTTAGGAGGCAAATCAAGCAAAAGCTTGTTTGCTAGACTCTATACCGGTGAAACAAACTCTAGATAGACTGAGTTTATTGGACAGAAACTTCAACATACAACAAGAGAAAAAGAAAGGAACAATTTGGATAGTAGAGTTGTTTCTTATTAGGAATAACTTGAAGGGAATATTCCAATAATACTAGAAGATAAAAACTCATATAAGACAGAAATGGCATCTGAATTAAGAGAACAATAATATGAGGCATGAAATGGCTTATAAATCCCGTAGGATAAATAACAGCTACAAGATCAACTCGTAGAAATTAGACTATTGCAGCTTTCCAATCAGAAAAGTCCCCAAGAAAGAACACATCATGTAGACAGCCATTACTGATGCCTGTAGTAGCCCAAAATCTGACAGTCTCCCAAAGCTTTCACACCTGGAACTTAAAGACCTACACTAGAATTTGAACAAAATCCTAAACCATACGAGTCTACTTTAGGAATATAATATTGACATTGAAATTAACTTGTTTCATGCCGATTTAAGACTCGTATTCAAATTTGAACACCACCCTAATCTCGTCAGTCACTAAAACAACCTATATACATGATAGACACTTGAGTCTTACATTGAATTTGGGCAAAACCCCTAATTGGAGAAGTCTGATCAGTCACTAAAACATCCTAATTTTATAAATTTTTATTTTGGGAACATAATGAAGAATTGAAATTAACTTGATTCATGCTGATTTTTATACTATTTTCAATTTTCTAAGATGCAGACAGAATGCATGCAGAGTTTCAAAGCTTGAATTATTCTGCAATTCATCTTGGTTCCTATTTAATCTGCATCCCACATAAACCATTCTCTACCGCAAATTCCCTAGGTTCTTGTCTAGACACTGACGAACGAGAATCCACGTTTGCATTTTGCCCATTCGCATCTTCCCTAACCGAAGCAACAATATCTTTAAGCTGTTTCCCAATCAACTCATTGAGCGCCTTCTTATTGCCCACACAACCTTTAGACAAACCCTCAACCGTAGATGAATGTCTTGCTTTGATATTACTGTACTTGAAGAAAAAAAAGAAATTTGAAAGAACGGAGGATGAATAAGCTCTATTTACCAATCTGTTGTAAGACAACATATGCCATGTTGATGCTGGCCTTCAGCTAGTAAAAAGTTTAGGAAACAGAATTACACTGAGAAACAGAGAACAATTTGGGAAAACAGACTTGTGTTTGGACGTGGGCTTTCTTAACCAAGGTGTTGCTACTGCATCAGATATTATGCCAGATAATAGAGAACATGATCTTCAACCAAGCACACTAAGGTGGTTTGCTCGATTTAGACATGTACAACAACATAAAAATGCTTGGTATACGAGTGACTTTATTCAAATAGAGAATATTGGCAGAAGAGGAAGCCCAAAAGTATTGTGTGGGCGGACGGACATGAATTTGCAAACTTGAGTGAGGCGATAGTCCTCGATTGAGTGGAATACAACAAAGGATTCATACAGTCCACACCTCATGAGGAGCTCTAGTCACCTACACAAATTGAATCAATAATACAGATTTTCCAAGCTGATGCAATTGCCATAGAGTTTAGCAGCATTACTCTCCACAGTTAGTTCTAGAAAATCCACAATCAAAGAAAACGACAACCATGAGTGCATTTGGAATGGGAGACAACTGGATGTCACCCAAATTATGACTAGACACTAGTCCATCCTAACCTATATGTCTTTAGTATGAGATTTATTCAAAATTCATCAGAGTATTTGTTTCACATAAGCCATACAACTTCTTTGCCATTTGAAGGACAATTTGCTCGTTGAACAATGCAGATTTTCAGATTATTAGCTTTTATTTTGGTTGAAAACATACAAAGATATCTGAATGAGAAGTATTTAAAAAGAAATTCCATACCGGCTGAACTTCATGGGGATCAAGGTAAAGTGCTTTTTCATCCTGCACACCAATAATGTAAGTTGATGCACCAGGTTTTCCACCCATGATGCCAAGACTTTGGGGAAAGGTGAATGTCGCCCGCAACGATGGAATGTACCTGATTATAATTTTTATTTTATTTTATCAGAAACAATATTTTATTAAAGAGCTTATAATCACAAAACAAAAATTAGTGAACCAAAGGTCCACCAACAAAATGGTACAACCCTCACAAAACAAATACAACTCTAAACTATCCTAAAGCAGCACCTGATAATCAATTAATGATCCCATTTAAGTAACATAAATGGTCTAAAATTTAGATGTTTGGAGTTATGAATTTCACTAATTTTATAATTCCCTATGTCATCTAGGCTCCAAGTTAACTTTATGGTTCGGTGAGACATTTAAGCTTACAGTTTTGGGAAAGGACTTCCTAAATTCTTAATCTAACAACGTAAGAAAAAGGAAACAACAAAAGCTAAATAACACTAACTCAAATTGCTAGACAACAAATAAAATGACCAAATATCTCCCGCGTCAGCAACTCAGCATATATCAATCATAACCATCCGTATACTATAAATAAAAGAAGCACCTGGGGTTGACTTTTTCAAGTCCAAGAACCAAAGGAACCAATAAAAGAATAGGCGTCCAATCAACTTGGCCTCTTGAGAACTCCAAACAGTGTCTAGAAGCATCTTCAATGCAGACTACTGGGGCTCCACCTCGCTCCCCATCTTCGTCCCCGGAAACAATATAAACAGCCATTGGAAGTGGCTGATCATCAAGGTCAGTTACTTCTCTCCTACATCGTACTAGAGTCTCCCAAGTGCGGCACATGGCATATGGGCCAACCCATGATCCGGCAGCGAGTTCATAAGCCTTTCCAGCCTGAAGAAGATTGTGGATGGAGAAAGTTGATATTTCGGAATCACCAAAATGATACAAGATCTCAATATATGCTTCATCTAAAGGCTGCATAACAGAGGTATAAAAAAACATGTATGACCAATCAGATTCCTGAATGTGATTTAAGAAAATATATGTAAAGGGGTAAGATGTGAACTGCAAATATTTTAAGGCAAAGCTATATCACAGAAAAAACAATCCTACCTCACCCAACTTTACCTTGTGCAAGGGCCTTCTCCAAGATCTTCCCAATCTATGGAAAAGCATCGCCTGTAAAAATATACTCTAGTCATTCACTACTTTTTTTTTTTTTTTTTAAGAAGAAGAAGAAACAAAATATTATTGCATATGACAACAAAATTACAAAAAAAGTGGACAAGATGTCCACAAAATAAAAAATAAAGGCACACAAAAAATCAGCAAGCACAATCCCCCTATAAGTAAAGCATCTATGAAGACACCAAAAAGTTATCTAATTGCAAGGACCGAAGCCATGATCAAGAAACCTTAACAATAACATTCACACATGTACCAGTTATTAACCACATAAGAATGCAAGAACCCAAAATGGATAAAACACTGTACCATACCTGGGCTACAAGCATCTGACTACTCCGAAGCATGCAACCCCAATTTACATCACTAGTGTACTTTGAATCTCCAATAGCCTCAAATCCTAGAAATAAATATGTACATGTTGATTTTTATCCACAAAGTCATAAGTGCTAAAGTTAAAAATGGTGTTTGCAAGCCAAACCTTTACGATATGTCATCAAAATTCTTGATGAGAAATCCTGTTCAAATGCTCCTAATCCATTATCAATAGGTGCATCTCCAGAGGAATCATCTTGTGAGACCTTATAGCACACACCAAGAAGCCATATGTCACTAGCAGAAGAAATTCCAGTCCTTCTGGATCCAAGTACACGCTCGTGAATTCTCCTCATAGATCCAATAGTCACAGCTTTCCTCACAGCTGCTGTCCATCCATTGTTTCTAGAGTGACTTTCCTTCTTTTCAGTAATTGATGACTCACTATGTGTTTCGAAGATTGAGAAAGTAGACGCAAAGAAGTTTGACCACAGGGATGCCTTATTGTGCTTACTGTCCCTAGATCCTGAATCTGAACAAGCAGACGATGAACCTCTATCTGTTGAATCTGTTGAACTTTTAGAAGAACATTTCGACGCAACAGCCGTCTCACAAAAACCCTTCATCAGCTAGTCATGAAGCATCATATAATGCTAAACTTGCTCGCACAAGCAACCTGAGTTTTAAGCATCCATCTCAGTCCAGCGGTAAAAGAAGCAGCAAGTTCCAAAGAAAACCAAAATGAATAAATAAAGAAGCATGTATACGGCAAGTTATGCGTAATAATATTATTCAAGAACTAAGGCGGAATTTTTCAATCCTCAAATTGAAGTATTCAATTGTAGGCGAGAATGTCAAAGAATCCATCAATATAGCCTAGGAAAAAGACACAGAGGAAGCAAGCAAGTATAATTAATTTGCAATTAATCATGCAAACCAGTAATTGATCAATCGAGATTAAGGAAACAACAAAGGATGGAATTGCCGACCAATCAATCAATTTCTCAACCTCAAATCAATAGGTAAGATTAAAAACATACGTACTTGCATGCATACATTAGCTCGAAATTAGCTCGAAATGACACAAAAACTGTCTCCAACCAAGGGCTAGGCCAAAGGGCTTGTAGGTCCCACCGGGCCAAAACCACCAAATCAGGCCAGCGTGCTGGCCATCTCCAGCCAGCCACCCAGCCCGATGCAGCCAATCTGAACTGTTTCATGAACTCAAGCTCAAACAAGTGGAAAATTCAATCGAAAAATCGAGCCAGCCAATCTTAACAAACCATCCAATTGAAATCACACTGTAGTTTACAAAATTAGGCGGTTTTTTATGACATCACAATTCTAATCTATGCTTCAATTTAAATACAGAGAAGGATAGATTTCTAAATTTACAAGAAAAGAACAAAAATTTGGGACATTCAAGAGAAACCCATTAAATTGGAGCATAAATACAGCTTAAATTCAAAAAAATACGAACATGCATAAATAATTAAATTTATTAAAGATGAAAATCGAAACAATGGTTTGAGAAAAGGAAAAGAGAGACGGACCAGAAGATTTGGGGTGTCTCTGAGGAAACTTGATGCGAGGTATCCTCTTCATCGCCTGGGCTCCACCCATCTCTCTCTCTTCTGTAGCACCAGTTCCTCCGGAGATGACGATTGGCTAAAATCTTCCACCAGCGATTTGTTTGACAACTAAGGATGAACTGACGGGTATACCGTTTATTCAATTACTGGTAAATGGTTATGCAGGCACAAGTATAACCATTTACCTGTTTTGAACCCGTTTACCTTTTTTTTTTTTTTTTTTACCCATTTACCTCTTTTTCACTCATTTACATGTTTTTTTTTAACAACTTGAAAATTACCAAAAAAAAGTTGTCTTAATTTTCATTTTCTGACAATTAAACATTATTATAGGTACATTTTAGCATACATTTTCCTATTTTAATCATTTAAATCCTCATACAGTTCCAATGATTGAAATAATAGTTTATGAACGATATTTTTCTGCTACATCCAAACAAGTCTTTAATTATAAATCATATGATTACAAAGTAAATTAAAATAGGGAAATGGGTAATAACAGTCTTTAATTGAAATAATAGGGTTTTTATTTTTTTAATTTTACATATATTAAATTAAATAAGTAAATGGATACCCGTTATAACCGCGGATATTACCCATAACCGATGGATACTAGTTATAACCATGAGTAATACCTATAACCACCCATTTAAATTTCATAGATAAACGGTTATACTCATAACCGTTTATTCATCTAAACGGTTACCCATAACGGCAACCGTGAACTTTAATTTTTTTTCAATAATTTTCAATATGTCCGAAAATCTTATTTTAATATGGTAGTTTAATTTAATTAATTATATTAATTTAATTAAAATAATAAATTATGTTTGACCCATGACCCTTTGGCCCCCTCAGTTGAAGGTGGTTTTTTGTCACAGTGCTACGTTTGGCCTATGGCCATTTGGCCCCTTCGATTGGCGATGGTATGAAATATGGTATGACACTATTCATTAATGCCATCTCGAGAGGCTCGTTTTAGCCCTACAACCCTCAAAGAAATTAATATTTTAATGAACAGTGTCAGACCATATTTCTTACCATCTCCAACCAAGGGGCTAAAGGGTCATAGGCCAAACATAGCCATGTGACAAAAAATCATCTCCAAACGAGGGGGCCAAAGGGCTATAGGTGTAATGGCGTGCATTGGCTCTATTTTTTTTTTTATTCTTTCTTTTGTCCTTATCATTAAATAAAATTATTATATAATTTTTTTGTTAAAATTTAAAGTTTTGAAGTCATTTTCATTAACTTTTCTTTTATTTTTTTATTTGATGATTCAACATGCTGTATAACGTCGTTTTTTCTTTGTATGTTCTTAGTTTATTCTTGGTTTTATTTTCATGTCGTCATTTATTTAGGTAAATTGTGTAAAGGGGTGCGGCAAAGAGTATCTATACACTCTGTGTTTTTCTCAATACACACAATGCAAAAGTTGTTCAGTTATGTCTCTCAGATTAAAAAGACAAAAATCCTAAGCCAAAACACCTTAGTGCCGTCCATTTTACACTGATCCAAGTGAGAGATTTGCTAGCACATTTAAATCGATCACTCCATCATTGGTTGCTATTGTATTAGTGTGGATACTTTTAGAAGCTCAACGCTTGCAGAGTTTCGCGTGATCAACCATGGAAGATTGCAACCATGAAAAGGAATATTGAATAGTGGGTGATCCAATCACGCGGCATGCACGTGGCTAGAGATTCAAGTAAGTTAATCTCTTCTCTTTCTTTGTTTGTTGATTTATCAATTACAACGAACCAAATATATAAATGGGATAACATATTGCATGTTAGTTTTTATTGCGTGTGATTATTTGAATTGAATTAATCCCAATAATATGCGCAAAAACCCAACACGAGTGATGCATATCAAGATCTTGTAACACTGCATCAATATCTACGTAACCGAAGTGTAGTAGATGATTCAAATGCCCATTTTGCCCTTCGTAATAATTTGATAACACATGTAGTATGAACATGCACAAGAGGCTAAGTTTTGTGTTTGTAGCATTTAACTAACTAAATTGTAATACCCTTGCAATTTAGGCATGTTGTTTGTTTATGTTTTCGGTTTAGCTCTCTAAGCTACCAATGTCATTTCAATATGCAGTGTGTTTTTATTTTGAAATTGATAAAAGTAAGCCCTTTTAGTAGAACATCTTATATCATTTTATGTTTAAGGGAAGGGATCCCCATTTTTTTTTTTTTTTATAAAAATAAGGATTAGTTGAGGGGTCCACACCACATCAAACTTTAACGATCCGAACCGTCTATTTTTCAAATTGAATTGAATTGAAATTTGTTCTTTATATGTAAGTGGTTTCAGATTGAATTGAATTTTTGCAAGGATGATCTATGAATCGTGACTTACAAAATAGACGATTCAAATCGTTGAAATTCGATGTGGAGTGGGCCTCATAATCCCCAATTTTTTTTTCAAAAAATGGGGATCCCTTTGCATAAAGGGCCTATATATGTGTATATATATAGTAGCCTCGTAGAGTATATATAAAGCCAACATTGAAGATGCTCGAGGACGGTGATGTCGTTGTGAGACCCCGTAGGAGTTCCGAACAAGGCTACAACGTCTAGAAAAACAGTAGGTGTCTTTTTATAACCACTAAAAGCCATGGCCTATGTGGTAGAGCAATTCTTCCACTCCTAATACCTGTAGTTGATGCCGCCCAACATCCCAATAAGACCCTGTTTCTTAACTTTATTCAAAAGCCATTGCAAGTCTCTAGATTAAAGCAAAGGTATTTCTTCATAAGGGTGGGCACAGTTCGATTTTGGTCTTGTTTGTACCATACTTCATCAATCTCAAAACTACCGAGCACCGGTTAACTTCATATCTTCAAGGACCCACTGAAGAATTCATGCTGGGGCACCCCTGCTGAAGCATAAGAATTCATCTCCAATCAAGAGACCAATCACAACACGACACGTGTCAACATTAGAATAAAGCTCTTAGAGTCTCACATCGACCGCAAACAAAAGTGAGCGACTCTCCTCAACTATAAAAAATAAAAATAAAATAAAAAAAACCATTCTCCTACAATTAATCCCTAATGTCATTATTGTATTTAAACTCGTCATTAGAACTCGCTAATGATGATAATGCTTGAACTTATGCATTGTGTAAACTCTTCACTATTAATAAGAATTCCTCTACCCCGTGTACTTAGCCCAACTTAGGGTGAACCACGTACATTTTGTATTTGCTTCCATATCTCTATCTCTTTATATATTATCCTCACTAGGTGAACGGAGCAACCTTGCGAAAGTCACAAACTTAACGTTTTACGTTGTTCCAAAAGTCCATCCGATTTTATGCATCAACAAGTCCAGTTTACCGCTCATACTAGAACCGAAATGGATATCTCTACAGTTTGGTTTGGTTTTTAGGTTACATAATTAGTTATGCATGTCCCAATTTATAGGTTCAATATTATGGTTTGTGTCGTACTAGGTTACATACTTCCCATTTACTTGTAGGGTGTGTTTATTGCACCGGACTATTCCGGATTGGACTAGTTTTAGGGATTAAGCTGGACTAGTTTAGACTAGACTAAGTTGGACTAACTTAATGAAACTTTTGGTGCAATGTTGGACTAAGAAGCTGGACTAACAAATGGAAAAAAAGGGCATCTTCTTCGCAAATTGCTGGTGCTCCTTTGCACCTTGGAAATTGCAGAACTTCGAATAACAAATGCTTAACCCAAATTCCAGAGAAATCAGAAATCGTTCAATTTGATTAGAACCAATTGGCATCCCAGAAAACCCACAAATCCAGCCTCCCTTCACAAACCAAACGAAACGAATTCACATAATCCATCAAATGAGACTTCAAAGAACAGAACAAGTAAAGTAAAAAAAAAAAAAAAAAAAAAAAAAGGAGAGGGAGAGAGAGAGAGATCTGTGGTGGTTTGGACCGGTGGTGTGATATTGCCAGAGTTTGGTGAGTGTAGGACGCGACGCGAAAAAGAAAGCAGGGAAGGACGCGACGCGAAGAAGAACGCAACGAGGGTCTTTGCAGTCCATGCTATGGCCCTTTAGTGAGAGAGTTAGTAAACGCAAGTCCCCTTCAATCCCATTAAACATAGTCCCACTGTGTAACAAACAAACGCACATGTAATGGACAAAGAGGCCTTACCAGTGTTGGAGAACTAAACCAAATTTCAGCTATTGAGTTAAGAGTCACGAATATGGATTAATAAAAGATAGAAGTCCTAGAGGTGTGATGATTGAGATTACTATAGAGTCAGTTATTTCTCTACATGTTTCAGTTACAAAGTTGTTCTTAATTAGCTAAATAAATTATGATGTATTGTATTGGCTATAAAAGCCATGCACTGTTATATAGTTTTTATAATATGTGAAGAAATAAAAATGTTTTCACATTAAAAGCGTCTCCCTTCTCCACTACACCAAGTTTTAATTAAGATTTCTCCCTCCTACAACTGCGCAAAGTTTTAATTAAGATTTTTCTCCCTTCCTCCTGCAACTAGTAGTAGTAGACTAATTGGTGAAAGGCAACAAACGAATTCATTTGATCATGTAGAACGAATCCCCTTAAATTATACATACAACATATATAATTAACTGAAGTCTCATTTTTCATCGCCAGTCCAGTTGTTCTTCATCTTGGGACCAGTAGGCCCTTCTTCCCCTAACACTTCATTTGGTAGACTCTTTACGAATTTCTCAAATGCAGATTTGAGCTTTCCGGGCAAAAGTTTCTCCACCTTTTTTAGCTCGTCAGTAATGTCATAACTAAGTTTTGGACCCCATTCCCGACAGTAGTTGAGCCATGGCGGCTCGGATATAGCGGAGCCCAAATAGTCAGCTGCAATGATTATAGGCTGGCTTCGTCCAGTGTCCAATACCATCTTACTCTTGGCAGCATCATTCCTAATTCCTATTTCTCCAGTGCCTTGCAATACAAGTCCTGGCTTGGCATAAAAAGCATGGCCGTGCAAAGATGCATAGGTCACGGCTTTGTTCCCTCCACCATTCTGAAACTCAAGCTCAGAAGCGTCCACCCATATGCCCCCGCTGTGCTGCGAGAAGTAGACCTTCCAGAGTTCCCCAGTAAAATTGCTGACTCGTAGGGTCACGTGCTCCCAG